ATATTTTGTTAATCGTTATGTTTTGTTTTGCGGTATTTAATTATTTTTGATTATCGCTTTCCGTTGTAATAACGTTCACAAATTTCAATCGTTTTTTGTCAAATATAACGTTATAATCATAACGTTTGCAAGCCCTGATTTATACACTGCATATTGCCTAATAATCATTAAGAACTTGATAGTTAATATTATATAATAAAATACCATTTTTAAAAATTATATTTTCGGTTCGGTTTTAAATTATAATACCAGCATCCAATTTTTTCCGGTTTTGGTTTTGAATTTAATACTGGTTTCCAATTATTTCCGGTTTCAGTTTTGAGTTATAATAACGGTTTCCAATAGTTTCGGTTTCGGTTTCAGTTTTTTAACGGTTTATACCAGTTTCTGAAACCGGTTTCAAGCCCTGATATATGTATAGGCCTCTTATAAATGTAAACTTTTATGTAAATATTTCATGGATAACAATGCAACTTTTAGAAGTATTGAAAAAAATCTTTGATTGGTGTTTTGTTTTATCCGTATTTCCGTATTGGTATCTACCTACTTAATGAACTTATCTTTGTTCCAATTACTATTTAGAGCCTAAAAAATTTATTTTTGAACTTACTTTACTTGACAAAATATTATTTAATGCCATTATTTTTTTAAATTATCTCTTCATATGATGCAATCATTTTTTTCAAATATGTACAAATATTAAAATATGCAATAACCATTAAATATAATGCATAATCCGGGGAATAGTCATTGACTGCTGAACTAAGACACTGCAGATCTAAATGATCATCTGCGCAGTAAGTGCGTGTAGCTCGGTATTCATCTTTTATAATTTTCATGGGAAAACAATTCATACGAACAGCAGGCTGGTTATAATCCTCAATATGGTTGTAACTGCGTATCTACCAAATGTATATAATAATATAAGTTATAACAAAGAGGGATCACCTTTGAAATCGACCGACATCGACCGTTTGGTCACCCCTGAACTCTATACAGATTACAGCGGTATGACCAAATAATATTATAATAATATTCAGTAGCTCCGTTCGAAATCTCGAGGAATGTACCTAATTAGTGACCAGCAGCACTGCCCTCTACAAGCATCAGCCTTTTATTATAGAACACTATATTTGTATTTATAAACGTGTATTTATTATATCCGGAGAAACATCTGCTGCACAACCCTCTTATACAGAGCCGCACACGACGTGTTGACAAAGACAATCCCGACGCGCAGTGTATCTATATATCTCCATGACTCCATTCTAATATCAAATAATACTAATATAATGTCTAGTTTCGTTTTTGATAATATATGCACCCCGGATTACCTAACATTAATTTATAATATTATTATAATGTTTTTTGATGAGAGGTATACGTAAAATCTATACATTTTTTGTACTCGTTAACACGTATATCACGCGTTTAATTTTACGTCTGAGAAATAATTATTTATTACCTATATATTGTTATGTTCAAATATGTGATACGCCTATTACCGCATAAAGTTTTGTCTGCAGACTCTGATTGTAAATCCTCTTTGCCGATCACAAACTGACGACGAACGTATAGCCACATTTATTGCCACAAAGACTATTTCGAAATTTAAATGTACGCGACCAATGTTATTGATTTCGGCATTATTATTCATTTGTTTATCAAATTATGTATTATTGTAAGTTGTTACTTGTTACTAAATAGTCAATTGTTATTGTCTTGTAATAATTTAAAATGTCAATATTATTTAATGTGAGTTATATACATTAAAATAAATTATTATATTGATTCGACAGAACCTGTTATTTAAATAAAATATTGTTAGTAATGGAAGGATTATATTATTCATATTATACCTATATAAGTATACACAAATCGGACAAATTTATTCCTATTTAATCTATTAATCTTCCTGGTTAACTGTATGTTACAGACTACAGTATATCATATAATATGACAAGGTTAAACTTTTTTGAAGTTTCTTGCTATTTTGTATACTATCCTATACTTAATATGATAGTGGCTGATAGAATGTCCAAGTCGGTAGAATGTATAAATCAGGGCTATATTTTGATTTTGGTTTTGGTTTCGGATATCGTTTTGATATAATTATATAAATTACAGTTAAGAGTTATTTAGAGTTCAGATTTACTACATTTTAGTTTCCGGGGGAGCGATCACTAGGTCGGGTTACTATTTTTTGTATTTTTTTTGTCTGACTCAAAATTTAGGCTCAAAATAAATGTTTCAACCTTCAACATATTGATGGTGGTTTCTAGTAGATAATTGGTTGAATACAGTGCTTGCAAACGTTATAATTATAACGTTATAGTTGACAAAAAACGATTGAATTTTGTAAACGTAATTATAACGGAATGCAATAATCGAAAATAATTAAATACCTCAAAACAAAACATAACGATTAAAAATATATATTAACAATATATATTACTTATATGTATCATTAAACAAAACATAACGCAAAACGTAATTAATAGAATACCTATCATTAAACGAAAAATAACTCAAAACGAAATATTTTAAAATGTATTTATTTAAAAGGTCTATTGGTGGTTTTGTAGAAACATTTAGAAAATAATGTTTAGTATTTTATAATAATTGAAGTATATAGGTATAGGTATAACAGAATTATTGCGTAATATAAGTAGATGAAATTAAAAATGTAATCTGATACCTATATTTAATCAGAACAGTTTAAATCTTGAATCTGCTTCAAGTTCTCCAACTGTTTTGTTTTTAATTCATAATACTTCAATTTTGCTTCGTTTATGAGGGAGCGCTGATGATGTTCTAAAGTCAAAAACTTTTTTTCTAATTCAAACTTTTCTTTTTGTATTTTTAATAAATTTGCTTCGTATTCAGTTATTTGTATATCTAAATTTATTGTTTATCCATTTTAAAATAGAATCACGCAATTTAAATTATAATTTTAAATAAATAAATACCACTAATAAACTCAAAGATAGAACACGAAACTAAAAATAAATTCATATAGGTAGGTAATCTAAAAATATTTTACCACAATTCATAAAATATAATGATAACAATGACATGAAAAAAAAAACACCTGGAAAAACTGTAACGTTCACATTAAAATAATAGAACATAGAATGTATTTTTTCCTTATTTTTTTTTTAGATTGGCAACAATTAGTAATAATATGGGAATTTGGGTGTCTCTATGGCTGTTTATAATAAACCAATGATAATAAACAGTTTTTCGAAACTTAGCCTAGACCATTGACTATTTGACTAGTTGATTATGAATAATACTTTATTAAACCCGAGTTTAACCAAGGTGGCAAGGTCTAAGAATTAAACCAAGTTTATTTAAACTTAGGTTAAACCTTAGTTTTTGACGATGACTATGAATAACACTGTAAGTTCAAATTTCGTCAAAACCACTGTTAATTTGTAGTTCAAAACTTATGAAATATAAAATATGTATAGCTAAGGCTAGACAATTTAATACGAGGTCTTTCATATAAGTAGTTCATACTTTTACCGAATATTTACAGATAATTTATGAAAATTGGTACCTATGCAAATACAATGCTTTTCAAAAATGAATTCATTCTGGTAAGACATATATGCAATTTACGTCTTGCTTACTATAGTTGACAGTTTAAACTTGATTAATATTTTTTTGAATAAGTAATAATAATATGGGCCATTACCTACCCGCATTAGTTATTATTTTTAAATTTAATAGGTATTAACACTATTTTAAATAACGATAAACCCAAAACTTGTGTAACGTTTTAATTTTAAATAACATAAAACGTTTTTTTTCCAAATGCAAGTCCTGGTTAAATATAGTTTGAATATAGTTTGGTACTCTTTCGTTTTTTTTTTGGGGGGGGGGATTAAATAATTCCCAGTGCTTTTAAAATTAATCGGGAAAACTTAAAAATTTCAATGGGCTATAAACGCAACATCTGAAGTTAGACTATACCATTTAACTGCAATTTTGATAAAATCGATTGTTAAATCTTCATAAGTTTATTTTATAACCATTTGCATTTAAAAAGATATTGGCTTAATATAATATTTTATAAACGTTTATAAATTTCAAATTTCGACCAAATTCGTCGAAACCAATAAAATTGCCAAATTTTTTTGTATAGTTATAAAGTTATGAATTTTTCAATTTGAATCGCTTGCAAAATTAATTCAAGGTTTATAAATTATAATTACCATAAGTTGTCATTACTGAAATTTAAAAATTTTGAAAATTCATAAGAAATGAAGATTCATAAGATGATGTTTTTGAATGCACTTTTGAATTTAAAATGTTGAGGAAGTTAGATATTCAAACGATAAATAACAATTATCTTTATAGGTAATTCAAAAATTATTAATCATTGAGAATTTAAGTTTTTCATCATAAGTCATAACCTATACCTATTATTATTTTCTACACACAAAGAATTTTTATTCTGCAATTTATAGGTATCCGTAACACAATACAATAGTTTTGATAATATAGATTGCTAATATAGAACAAATTTTTTATTATAATTATATCATACGATTACTTCAATACTATTTTAGGTACACTGTATAAACATTTTTTTCAACTATAAAGCTTTAGTCTATATTTTATCATCCACTTCGCTGTTTGCAATCTAACGCAGGTAGATTGCTTACCTGATAATATACTGTTCGCATAACCATAAGCGAGACTCACGGGCAACTCCACGGGAGATGGCTAAAAATTAAAATATAATATAATTTTGCTTCCATATTAGCAAAATTCCATTTTAGAAGGATTACACCTAAAGGAGTTAATTAATCACAATTTTTTCCCGGGCAACGCCGAGTTATTCAGCTAGTTTACTATAATATTGAACACTGTGCGTTTGCACCACAACAATAATAATTTGTTGGTGCCTTAATTTTAATACTTTTACTTCGTTTTTAACTCGTACAATAATATTTTAACCGTCGAAAAAATTACAATATATTATCATCCACATGTCAGATCTGACGACCGACGAGGGTAACGACCAAATAGAATGCGTGCTACAAAAATTAATGAATGACATAGTCATCAAAAAACAGGTGTCCAGGAATTGGCTGTCCAGGAAAAACGTGTTCAAAGACACCATGGCCATGGTCCGCCTGAACCAGGCGCTGTCCCGGGATCCAGACGCGTTCCATGCGCTGTTCGACATGTTCATGACGGCTGTCCATAGTAAATCGATGGACAAACCGGACTCGATCAAGGCTGAGTTACTGTCCGTGGTCGACCGAGTCCAATCGTTCGACGAGCTAAGGGCCATGGTAGATGCGAATACCGGTGACATTGTGGCGCCCGAGCTGATCGAACACCTGTTGTCGAAAATCGACGACGGCGTCGATGGTGGCGATGGCGGCGATGGTGACGATTGCTGCGATGGTGGCCTGAATTTCCGGACAGTGCCGTTCCCGAGTTTTGTGGTCGCTGCCTCCGGCCCCCGACTACCCCTGCAAAACACCTTCACGTTCGCAATGGGTCCACGATGTGACGGCGACGACGGTGGCCTCCAAGGCGAGGAACTGCTCATCTACGTGCCGGTGACCAGTACGACGGGCGCGTACGGCGCGCTGGACTGGAGGCCGATGCCGCCCGAAGTCGAATCGTCCGTAAATCTGAACGTTGCGCTCGTCATGGCCAGGTGGATAGACAGCTGGGGCGACACGAGCCTGTTCGGTGCGGGCCGGTACAGGGCCGTGCTCGTGTGCCACGCGCGCCGGTCGACCCTCGACTGTCGGCTGCCCTACAAAATCGGGCCGCCCCGGTACCTAGTGGTGTGCGCGGAGCAGACGAGGGCCAAAACGGCGCAGTGTCTAGAAAAATTACGCGTCCACCACAAGGACAACAACGTATGTTCTGTCCAGCTCAAACTTCCGTGGCAGAAGTTGGTTTTGGGCGCGTTGGTGCTGGTCGGCGGGTATATAATGGCGAACCGGTACGGCGTTTCCGTGGTTTGGGAGCCCACAAACCACTGGCGCAGTTATGCTTTAAGGCTGTGCAGACCTACTGTTTTATTTTAATTTAAAAATAAATCCCTAACCTTATCTGGTGTCAGTGCTGAGAGCCATCTTATTTTTCTTGTGGGTGTCGTTACGTCAACGGTGACGTAATATATAGATAGTAATTATATACTCTATAGGTATGATCGAATAAAAAAAAATTATGAATTCCATATAATAAAAGGTGGGCAAGTGGGTGTCGCTCTGCTGTACAGTAGGTTACAAGTGGGTCACTGTATAATGGATGATATTAAATTTGACTTCAACGATATAATATCATTGTATAAGAAAAACGATTCTGAGCGGAGACGGTATGTCAGTCTATGTATAAGACATATTATATACATATCTATGGTATTAAACAAAAAATTGACCTATAATAGGTACCTATAATAAATTCCAAATTAATCATATCACAATATCCATTAGGCACTGGTAACGCGTTATACATCAACAAAAACCATGATACTATCATAGATATATAATAGTACATTTTAGAAGTTTCAAGTACCCACGAATAATATTATTCAATCACAACAAAATAACTAAAATAGTTATTCTAGGTTTTTTAATATGTAATTTCGTCCAAATTTGAATTTAAAATGACTGTAAAAAATAAGTGTGTTCATATATTTTTTAGATTTTTTGATTATAGTATGAACTATTTATGAGAACCTTTGTGTTGAATTTGTAATCCTTAGCTATAAAAACTGAACATTTTATATTTATAATTTATTAATTACAATGATTGATAATTTTCGAGATTTTGATAAATTTTGTCAAAATTTGATCTTTAAATGCTTATAAAAAAAAACTGTGCCTATGTATTTTTAATATTTTTCAACTGCTATTGTAACAATATATCAGGAGCCTTGAATTAAATTTTTACACTTTTTGGCCCAACAGATAAAACTTTATTGATATTTATAGAAAAAAAAACTAAAAAAAATTGAAAGCTGTAAATGTCCATAAACAGCTCAAAAAGAGTCAAAATATTTTCAAAATTGTATGGTGTATAGAAAATGCTAATTTAAACATTCAGTGAAATTTTCATGTATCTACAGTTGTTCGTTTTTGAATTGCAACAAAATAAGGAAATCGCTACATGAGTAATCGAGTGAAAATCCAATGTTGTAAAAATTTGAATTTCAAACGCTCATAAAAATTTAATTTGACTGTCCGGTAGAGATTTTTTTATTGATAAAGGTAGATAATCTTATAAGGAATCTTGTGTTTCATTTTCAAATCTTAGATTTAAAAAGAAAAATTTTTACGAATTCTTAACTCAAAATAATTTGCTAATTTTCGTGATTTTTCCATATTTTGTCAATTTTTGAACTTTAAATGCTTATAAAAAAAAATTATGACTAAGGATTTTTAATATTTTTCATCTGCCTTTGAAACAACATATTAGGAGCCTTCTATTAAATTTTCAAGCAACCAACAAATAAAATTTTATTGATATTTTTAGAAAAAAAAATTAAAAAAAAATGGAAAATGAAAATGTCCCTAAACAGTTCAAAATAAATCAAAATATTTTGAAAATGTTATCGTGTATAGAAAATGCAATTATAAACAACCAGTGAAAATTTCATGTATATACGTTCATTTGTTTTAGAGTTACACCAATAACCAAAATCGATTTTTTGGAAAACCAATTTTGCGTAAAAATTCCCGTTTTTCCTTAATTTTTATGTTGTTTTTCCCGGCGCTTGTGAAAACTACTGGGAAATTTATACTTTTCATTTCGACATTTCTGGAAAATGTCGGAAGAAACCGTTTTTCTCTAGAGCTTCAAAAATATGGAAAAATTGGAAAATATGAAAATAATACATTTCCAAAAAAACTGTAGTTCTAACTGTAATCTAAATAGGTATAAAAATAAACCCAGTTAAAAAAATAAGTAGAGTAACCTGTCAACTATTATCTAACTATTAATACTGGCAACTAGTAAGTATTTGACAGTTTTTATATTTTTAAACTTAGTGAGTAAGTAAAAAGTAAATAGTATTACTAACTGCATAATAAATACATAATAGTTAATATAACAAATTATCATTAAATATTTATAAAAAATGTATAGAACCCACAATATTTATCCACTACATACTTTAAGTAATAATATGTTAATGTATTATGATGATCAACTATCATTATTCATTAGATAATGAATTTTGATCTCTAAATTTTAATATAAGATATTGGTTTAATGGTATCAATATTTTTGTACTTTAAACAAAAGTATTTGTTTAAGTAGGTATTTTGAATACTTTTAAAAGAAAGCATTTGAATAAGTATTTTAAATACAAATAACACCTAGTACCTATTTAAATACATATTCTGAATACATTTGTAAATAATCTTAAGAAGACTGTTAAAAATATGTACCGTCATATCTAATAATATGCATTAAACGACTTAAAATATAGGTATAAAATAAAAAAGCGGGTAAGTGTATGTCGTTCTGCTAAACAGTAGTTTACAAGTGGGTCATTGTATAATGGATACTGTATTTAACTTGAATTCAATTATCATTGTATAAGAAAAACGATTCTGTGGAGATGGTTTGTCAGACTGGATATTTTTATTATTTATTATATCCTGTAAGTTGAATTTTGAATTTATATTATAATAGGTATTTTTATTTTATATTCGTTTCTATGGTGATAAACAAAGCGTTAGAAATTAAAATCCCATTTTTAGCAGTTTTTCGTAATTTGTTGGTGGTTTCCCTGTGCAATTAATTAAATACTGAGAAAGTCGAAAAATGACCTTCCTAAAGTACCATCTTGATCCAATTTTCTAAAAGATAATGTACTATATTATGTTGAAATCGAAGCACTCCTACTGGTAGATATTTTGTATACAGGATATGAAAAAAAATATAAAATAAATAAATACCATTGTATAACCACTACCTTCCTTTCTCCGCTCAGGATCTAAAATATATGATTTGTATGGATATGAGTGGATTGCAAGTTTGTAAAAGCAGGAAAAAAATAAACATACTGATGCACATAAATCATTGCGCTATAGTCGGGCCACTGGGAGAGCGCTACTGGGCGGTGACCAAAACTCGTCCGCTTTCGATCATTTCCCCCCCCCCCCCGTATGCCTGTCCGTTTGCTGTCCGCCGTCAACTTTGGCCGCCGCCACCGTCGTTGCTACAATTATAGGGTAGAGTTTGAGAAATTTGGGTAAGAAAACGAGGAGCTCGGTCATTTGGATGCGCCAACGAGTAGCGCTCTCTGAATGGCCCGACTATGGTAAAAAGTAATCAATAATTTTTCGATAGTTCTCTACCTATTATAGATAATAAAAACTTTATTATCTATATTTACAACACAGAACGGCTACGGGCTACGAAATGCTATTATAGATTAGATACGTATCCTTAGTGACAACCTCTAAATCAACATAAACTATTTAGACAATTAATGTAATATAAAATGTTAAATGTAGGCAATTTATTTTCATTTAATTTATCTTCATCTTAAATAATGGCGTCTGAGTTGAATTTGTCAGAAGAAAATAAATCAATAAAGTCTAACAAGTAAAACAACATTTTAATCTTTAGAATGTATAACAACTGTTTTTTTCATTTGCTAGTGATTTGAAAAATCCTGAGAAAAATGTCGACACGCAAACATTACACACTAAGTATTTGCAGGCAGTATTATATGAAAAAGAGGATCCTGAACCTTTGGTAAGTTTTGACATTTTTTTCTATAGTTTTTTCGTTTGTAGATTAGGATTATTAGTGTTTAATTAATGAGGCTGTTAAACTTACTAGAAATATAATTAAAAATGGCCAACATATTATTATGTTTTAGTCTGGATTTTTAGAATACACAAAAAGAAGAGAAGACTATGATAATAATATTGGAAAAGAAGTTGAGGTAGAAGATGACGATTGTATGTATATGATCGATTAGTTAATGATATTTGTATAGTTTGAGATTATATCATTGTGTTGGTTTTAATGTTTAGCCTTGGAATCAACCAAGTCAGAAGTTTCTGCGTCCATAGAATCCAAAACCGAAGAAAGTATTGTAAAAACTGAAGAACCTCCCGACATATTAGACATAGATAATATTATACATGAGTTTAAAACTGTGGCAGAATACAGATTCATTTATTTAGTCTACGCTGCCAATAAAAAGTCTAAATTTTTTTCACCGTATAATTTCAAAATTGTTTTGTTCAAGAACATCGACACAAATTGTTTTTTTACGCTAAGTAACGATGGTTTTATGTCACACATTGAAGATGAAATAACATTCACGCCCTTTGCAGAATTTGAAAAAGAGTATACATTTTATAAGAAAATTATAAAATATGTAAGTTAATACCTACAGTTAAAGTTAGCGGGCACCAATTTATATATATTATACAGCATGAATGCATTCATTCACCTTATACAATTAAACAGGATCAAATTGTACTTGTATGAAATATGAATCACATTCAAATAGGTAGGTAGGTATCGTGTACGAACATCATTATAAAATTAATACATAGATACATCACTCCAGCTCAGGATCAATTAATATAAAAGATTTAATTCATTTCGGTATAACGTTATCTAATATTCAACAAGCAAATAAAATTAACATAATATGACTTTCCTATAAATATGGTTAAATTACAAAACATTATTTTGGACAAATTACCCAATCACTTGGAAAAATTTAAATTGACACATTTGTCATTAACTTGCCCATGGATTTCTAAAATTTACTAATTAAAACATTTATGCAGTTGGCAAAACAATATTGTAGAATGTCAGATGAATTTTTAAAAATGAATAAAATATGTATTTTTATTTATAGCTGAAATTATTTGGAAAATATCAACAATGGAAATGTCTGCACTTCTGGTATAAATTTATTTCATGGAAAAAGTATGATCACAAGCGTCAAAAATTACAAATTCCCCTGGCAGCATTTATTCTGGGTACTCTACTACCGAAAACGTCGTTAGAAATATCCGAAGTTATTAACGAGATTATGAAAATATTT